TCTCAGAGTCTGAGCTAGAGGTGGCTGCTGGTGACCTGAGGGTAGAGATCTGTCAGGCACTTGGCAATGAGGATTTGGAGCTCTTGGTAAAGATCTGGGTGTCACCTGTGGAGAGAGGAAGATTACCTGGAGGAGGTAAAGTTCAGGCAAAGGGTGAGAAATAGAGAGCTGAGGCAAGGACAAAGAGAGGACCCCTGGGGAGGCCAGCAGGCAGCTCTCAGAGCATTTTCATGCAAAGCCCGCCTGTGGGGCTGGCCGGCCTCAGCCTCTCCTCTGCATTCCTGCCCCAGGTCTGCGACAGCCTTGGGCGGCGACACGCAGCTACCTGCGACCTCTGTGGCTTCTGCTCCCTGAAGCTGGAGCAGTGCCACTCGGAGGCCAACCTGCAGCGCCAGCAGTGTGACAGGTCCCACAAAACTGTCTTCGTCAGCCCCTTGCTCACCTCCCAGAGCCTGTCCATTGGCAACCAGGTACCTAGTCGGGCAGCCTGCAGGGGGGGGTGGGGTGGGGTGGGGGGTGGGAGGGGGTGTGGGCACAGGTTCCAGCAGGACCAGGCAGGGGAGGGACAGGGACAGGGACGCACACCTCTCCTCTGTCCCGGGGCCGCAGGTGGGAGGCACCGCGTCAGGCCGCTTTTACGGGCTGGATACGTACGGCGGGCTCCGCATGGACTTCTGGTGTGCCCGGCTTGCCACCAAGGGCTGTGAAGATAATCGAGTGGCCGGCTGGCTCCAGACTGAGTTTCTGAGCTTCCAGGATGGGGATTTCCCCACTAAGGTCAGCGTCGTCCCCCCAAAGCTCAGCCCCTGTCCCTCCCCTCCCCCAGTTCCTTCTGGTTGTTGGCTCTAAAAGCCCTAGGCGGTAGCTGGCTTCTGAGGCCCTGTCCTCCGAGGGCCTCTGGCCTCCTCTAGCAGCCCCCCCCGCCCCCCAGAGCAGAATTGTGTCTGGTCCAGGGATAGGAACCGGCAGGGCTGGGAGGAGGGGACAGAGACCCGGTCCCAGCTCCGCCTCCTGCTGAGGGGCTCTGGTTTCTTCCCACTCTGGGCCAAAGCTCTCCTCATCCCTACAAAAATGTCTTGGTGTGATGGCTGAGCTGCCGTCTAGTACTTCCCTGCCTCCGACAGCCCCTTTACCGACTGTTCCAGGGCTTCCCCTGCTCAGTGTAATCTACTTTGCACTGCATCACCCCAAAGTTGCCTCCCCTCTGCAACTACCTGTAGAAGTAGCTGGGTGCCAGCCCCCTCTTTCTGTGGCTTATCAGAACAGATAGTAGAGGAAGCTTCAGAAAGGATCCCTGCCCTCTGATCTCCAGAACCCTAGAACTGAGAGAGATCATCTGGCTACTCCCTTGGATATATCAATGGGGAGGCAGGGTTCCCAGAGGGGACCCCAAGGTCACACATGACTCTCTTACCCTCACCCTCATTTAACCATCCCCAGAAGACTCCCTGACATTGGATCACCGATTGGCTCCCCTTCCCATGGTTTGGACCCTTAGTGCCCCCGTCCCCCGCCTCCCTTTTCCATTCCTCAGCCACCTCCCCAGCAAGCTGACCAGCTGGCCAGCGGCTTCCCATTCTCCACCTGCTGCTTCTTCCCAACGACTGAGCTGTGACTGGGGGTGAGAGGGAGAAAGGAATCTCGGAGAGGGGACTCCCTGTCGAAGGTCTGGTTCTTGAGGGCCACACCCTGCCCTCCCCCACCCCCAGTGCTGGTGTTCTGAGAGCCTTCTGACCTCTCCCCACGACCCCATTCCTGGCTCCTGGTTTAGATTTGTGATACAGACTATGTGCAGTACCCCAACTTCTGTGCCTTCAAAAGTCAACAGTGTCTGATGAGAAACCGGGAACGGAAGGTGAGCCCCTCCCCTCGGCCCTCCTCCCCCCACCCACCCTTCCATTGGTGACCATTGTGTGTGAGGGGGGTCTATTCTGAGCCCCCCAGGCATCAGGGACACTGAGATAAGCTCCTTATTTGCATCCCTGGGCAGAGGCCTCAACCAGAGCTCTCTTCTCTACTCTTTTGGAAGGGGTGCTGCAGGTAAAGGGGAGGGTCTGGACAGCAGCACAGGAAGAACCCCCAGCTGGGCTGGGAATAGCTTGCCAGGGGTCTCAGCTTCAACTTAGCAGGTATCTGGGATAAATCACTTGCTCCTCCTCTAGGCTGAGCATCCTCATTTCTGCAAGGGGGGTGGGGGAGGGTTGGGTTACTGGAAGTCTCTGGCAGTGATAACAACCCACATCCAGTTTCCTCATCCCCTCTACCATCCTGTGCCCATGCCTACCCACCTCTGCCTCTGGTACTGATGGATCTTCTGATGCCTGCCCACCTGCACAGCCTGACCGCTGGTTTGTGGCACAGCCTGTGTGTCCCCATCCCTGTGCAGGTGTCCCGCATGAGGTGTCTGCAGAATGAGACTTACAGCATCTTGAGCCAGGCCAGGAGCGAGGACATTGTGCTGCGATGGAGCCAGGAGTTCAGCACCTTGACTCTCGGCCAAGCTGGCTGAGCCCAGGGCCCACCCATCACCACCCCAGCCCCACCTTTCCACACTCTCCACCGCTCTGAGACCCCATCTGCCCGTTGGCTTCCAGCTGCCCCTATGGGTCTCTTTCCTGGCCCCTCTTCAACGTTTCCCTGGGGTTGGGGCAGATGCCCCAGAGAAGCCCATATGGGGACTCCACCCACCTTGAAGGATATCTTTACATAAAATGTTTATTTTCAACCCATGTGGCCTATTCTGTTTTTATATCCTGCCCCTTTGCCCCATGGGAGTCCATGGTTTAGGGACCCATCGGCAGGTGGGAGAACCTCATGGGAATGGTACTCAGGAAAGCAGCCATATGCCAGGTTAAAGAAGGTCATGGCTGGGGTCTTTTTTTTTTTTTTTTTTTTTTTTTAATAGAGGCATGTTTTATTTATTTATTTATTTGTTTGTTTGTTTTGTTTATACAAGCACTGGGTACAGTCAGAAGCGGGAGGGTGAGAGAATTCACCAGAGCCAGAGCGGGGAGCAGAGCAGGCAGAAGGACCGAAGTACACTGCAGAGGGGAGCAGCGGGCGGCAGGAGAGGTCTGCGCGCCATGTGGGACCCTCCTCCGGTGGCCGGGGAGCAGCCGGGGATCGAACCAGCGCCGCAGAGGCCGCGGGCAGCTTCGCAACCCAGCGCTCAACCGCTGCGCCACCAGGGAGGCCCATGGCTGGGGTCTTAAAGGTGGTAGGGCCATGGGGGCATGTGTGTGTGTGTGTGTGTATTCATTTCTGAAACCCTGGGCCTCACCACCTCTGAGCTGCATGTAGGCAGCTTAGCCTGACTGAACTCCTGACCCAGGGCCCATCCCCAGGGAGGTAAGGCAGAGCTTGCACTCCATGAGGTGAGAGTGTGGGAGGACTGGGTTAGGGGCTCAGGAAACCCTCAATTTGTCCTGCAATGGACCTGATGACCTGAATGTTGAGGTGGCTGCATCTGGACAACAAACATGGAGGCCTGACTCTAGCCTTGGTTGTCGTAACTGAGGCCCTTTCATAGTGTACTCTGGGGAAACATATGGTGGGAAACTGCACCCTCTCTCCCTCTTCTGTAGTTGCAACAGATTAACAGCTTTATTATGGAAAAGCTCAAACATGCACCAAAATGGATCAGTCCAATGTAACCATCACACTGGTCAAGCTTCAAATGGCAGGTTCAAGACTCTAGGGAGTCCCTAATAGAGAAACCCTCTTCACCCAGCGTTTCCCAAACTTACTCAACCACAATATCCTTTTTCACCTGCCACTCAAAAAACTTCACTTGTCTTATGAGGACAAAAAGTGGTATTGTTCTCACTCGAATGACTAGCTAGCCCCCTCAAATATTCAGGGCGGAACACCTCCGTGAAAAGCAGGAAGTGCGCATGCTAGTCTACCTTGGAAATGCAGCCGAGTCAGGAGAATGTGAGAAGAGGATCTTTGATGGTGCTGCACGCTCATAGGCCATGTCCTTACCTTCCCGATCACAGCACAAACCCGGTGGACAGGCCTAGGCACTGCTGTCAGTGCCCTTTCAAGAATGGGGGTCATGAACTCTGCCCTCTACAAAGCCAGGAAGATCGCTGGGCTGGGCACAGGTACAAACAACCTTGCACAGGAGTTGACACCCTGGGGCACACTTCCACCAATGGGGTGTGAAGGTTAGACCATACAGGTGCCATTCTCCTCAGGTCCCTTCCACATGGTTCTTCGGAGTTTCTGTGGCAAAAAATGAGCTCTAGTCACTCCGTCAAAATCTGCCTATTAGAATATTCCTTTGGACTTTTGCTCATCCCTTTCTCATTTTCTCCACTCTTTAACTTCTATCTTCCAGGATCACTTCCAAATAAACTAAATGCACAAAGAATAAAACCCCCAAACTTTGTTTTTATGTGTTGAGCATGGATGTGTCCAGCCCTGTTGATACAAAAGCCAGAGGAATCAGCCTGAGGCTACAGAGACAGAGTTGTCAGCTGGGCTCTCTGCCCCCCCGCCCCCCACCACCCTCCCAGGGCTGCCAGCCCAGGGGAAATGGACCCAGCAAAGAGGAACCGTCTAGTCTGGTAACCGCTGCGATGGAGGAGCAGCATGCACCGCAGGGAGAGGGGACCTGGCGGTATTCTGGCAGGCAGAGGGGCGGGCCCCAGGCGGGGTGAGGTATAAGCTGATAGTGTGGGGCCTGAGCGGAACCACCTGGCCTAAGCCAAGAGACCCCAGGGGGAATTGGTGAAAAAATCCAGAGGCTGGCGGGTTAGTCATCAGGCATCAGGGGTGGGTGTGCCAGTAAACCTCCCGGAAACTGGGGAGTGTGTGAGCAATGGGTGGAGGAGTGTCATTAGTTGGCAAGGGTTGGGGTTGCACCAGGTGCCATTATCTGCTGGATTTTCTTCTCTGTCTGGACCGTGGAGGCCTCTGAGGACGCAGCTTCCTCCTGTGTCTCTCCCTGTCCCTTGCGGGACTGCGTGAGTATGAGGAGCTGGGATCTACAGGGATCTACCCGAGTGGGTGTGTCCTCGCCCGCCCCAGGAGCCGGTCCTACCAGCCCAGCCCAGCCCAGAGCAGGCAGCGGAAGGAAGCTGGTGCAAGGCAGCTGTGGCAGAGTCACAGGGAACACAGGTATGGGGGGTGTTATGGGGGCACAAGGGGCCCTCCCTTAGGCCTGGGGACACGGGTCGGGGTGGAGGTGGAAACCTTTTGAATGGAGTGGAAAGCTCAAAGGGGCTGCCTCAGCAGACAGACCTTCTCAGACAGAGTTGGGGAAGCAGCCAGCACCCCTGTCGTTCCCTGGTGGGCCCTTCTGAGGCTGGGTGCCCCCAGACTGGGCATCTAGGGGAAGCTGTGTTCCCCCCTTCACCCTTTAAGAGCCTCACTGTCCTGCCAGATCCTGGGTTTCCCAAGACCCCTTAGGAGGGTCCTCTGGAGACTATTCTAGACTATTCCCACTCCAGTACCACACCCACTCACTCACGATGGCCGGACAGGCCCTCTGCTAGGTGCCAGTGAACAAATCTATTTAACCAGCACTAATGCGTTCACTGGCTCAGTAGGTTCTTACTGTTATTCTTCCCACTAACCAGTGTCCTTTAATGGGATCTTCCAGAAAGAGTAGGTCTTAACCCAGTGCATTCATCTACATGAACGAATTAGACTAGATGAGGATTAGACTCGATGGTCTCCGATGTCCCTGTGGCTCTGATAGAAAATGAGACTCCTGACTGATGTGAGGGGAGCACTTCCACAACCTTTCACAACCTTACCTTTGTCTCGTACCAATGGCTACCTCGCTATAACCAATGTTTCCACCCGTGGGCCTTCACAGCAAGAAGGGGACCTCCCACCCAAGTGTGTCTCTGGCTCCTTTTAGGCTGAACTAAAAGTAGCTCAAAGGGGAGATGAAAACAAGATCGAGGGGAAAATGGGAGCATTCCCGTGAGCCTGATCTGACCTCGCAGAGCCACTGTGCCCAGCTCCATCAGCTCCGTCAGCTGACATCTCTGTCTGATGCTGTCAGCTCTCCCCTCCCATGGGGCCTTTGGTAAACCCCAGAAACAGAAACTTTATATGCCCACACCCAAGGGGAGGGAGACTGCAGGAGTGGTGAGGGCTGAAGCCAGCGGTGCACATGCGAGCGGTTTGTGCAGAATGAGGTCAAGGAGATCAGATGATCTGGGGGAGACTTTGAAGTATCCGGCAGGACCCGGCCAGGCCCAGTAAGGTAAGATGTGTGAAGGCCGCTCAGAGTACAGATCTATGAGGGATGATCCTGCCTGGGTGACTTTTCTATCAATAGATGGGACTTTATTTCCTGTTTTTCCAGCTCTTGAAAGCGGGGTGGAAGGACATGTGCGTGGAGGTGAGGTGACATCTACACTTTGGGGAAACTAATCGTGGAGTTGTAGGCTACCTTTGATTCCTGCCCTTTCCCAGGGAGAAAAAAAAAAAAAAAAGATTGGAGTACCTGGGGAGGGAGAAGACACGGCTGAGGATGAGTCTGAAGAAGCAGAAACATATAGCTCAGGTGGGGAAGTGTCGGGAGAGGCTGGAGCAGGAATTTTGGCTGTGAGAGCAGGTCAGGCCAGCACCAGGAAGAAGGGGAATGGAGATAAGAAAACCAGCAATACAGGGCATGCCAGAGGGGCTCCTCCCAGAGTGGAACGTGCCCCCGGGGCAAGAGGAGACCTCCTCCACTCTGGTAGCCCCCACTATCTCACACTTTCCCTTCTCATCCCAAACCCAGGACAAACTGATTCATCCATGTCCCAAAGCAGCGGTGGGACAGAGCTGTCATGAAGTCTTCAGATCCACATTAGCTTCTCCTGGAGACGCAGCGCTGTTTGACTCTGCAGATATCAAAGGTCTTTAGAGATAAATTTAGCTGTGGATGAAGGATGCATCCTCCCAAGTCCCCATTAGACTGCTCAGCACGATGAGAAAGGATGTGGGTTCACTGACCACGCAGGGCCTCACGTACACTGCGTGGAGGTGGAACAGGTTGAGTGGCCACCACCAAGCCCAGCTCTGGCCTCAATCATCTAAAATGAGTTTGAAGCTACTCTAGAGTGGCTCTTCAGGGGCCAGAAGGATGAGATCTGGGTTATTTCTTTTGAAACTCCTGAAAAGTACTACTACTCCTTCTACTCTAAAAAGTAGAGGAAAAGAATTAGTCATTTGATAAATGCGCAGGGGGAGCATGGAGGGAATACAGGACACCTAGTCCTGAATCACCTGTTCCTTCCTCTTCAGTTCTCCTCCGTGTCATTGGCCAGCAGGGTGGACAGCCTGGGCAAGTGGTGCAGAGAAGGAAGGGAGTGATAGAGCCTAGCCTCCTACCCACTGTCTCTCTCTCATTCTCTCCTCTGCCTGTGGCAGAAAACAGACCTGCCCCTGGGACTAATCAACAAAGAAGGTGCCCTGCCCAGCTCAGAGGGCAATGGGATAGGTCCAGGAGTCACTGAGGGCACATGAGCCCGGGTTCCGGAAGTGCGTGTGGGATCCTGCAGGACATGGGGAGAAAGAGAGAGGGTGTGCATGCTCTGGTGTGTGAGCAGCGCAGTGGGTGGGCACTGAAGGCATCCCGGGTGCCTCCGTGTGTGGGACTAGGGCTCCGCCCTGTGCACATTTGCAAGGGGATGAGCTCACGAGGCCCCCTGATTCCATGTGTTTGTCCATCAGGACATTGTCCAGACCGCAGGGGCAGCCCCGCTCTTCCCCTGAGCTGCTGCTGGGGCCTCTGTGTGAGTGCATGTGTGTGGATGTGCACATTACTAGGCATCTTGTGTGTGCGTCTCTCAGTGTAGCTAGATCTCTGTATGGCCTTGATCATGCACATGTGTGTAGTAGAGGGGACGCTTCTGTTACCACATCCGTGTGAAATGAAACCCCGGTGGAGGTTCTTTTCTGGGGCAGCTGCTGTCTCTTTGCCTCATACGTCTCTCCCCACAACCTAACCTCTTTCTCAAGGCAGGATTGGGGAGAGGGCCTGGGCTGCCCCTCCCCCCACATTTAGATCCCTCCTTCCATTTCCTGTTTGCCTCCTTTTTGGCAGTTTTTCCCATCTTTGCCATCTGGCCTGGCACTGTGCCCAGTCAGCTCCAGTGACAGGAGCCCTGGGGAAGCAGGCAGATGGGGTGGGGACCAGAGCCTGGGCCTGGCAGCTCTCAGCGCTCAGCTTGGGCCCTTATTTGTGAGTCTGTCAGGAAGGGGTGGCTTTTTGACAAATCGGCTCCACTCGACAGAAACCCAAGGACTTTCTCCCCTTTGGAAGAGAGTAGTGAGAGCATCGCCATCTGCTTTACTAAAGGATCCTAACTTTACCTTTCAGTAGCAGCTCTGCTAATACACTTTGATCTGTTTAGCATTGCTACTTTATTGACAGAAAGACTTGGGGTTCTTTGAAATAATTATTCATTTACTCATTCGGTGTCTAGTATGTGTCTCCCAGTTGTAAAGAGCTATTGATTCTCCAAGTAATGGTTAAGAATGGTAAAGTGTGGCTGTAATTATAATGTGAGCTATTATTGAAGGGTTAATGGAAGCTATTTCCAAACAGGCCTTCTAGGAGACATGATTATGCACATGAACAAGACAGGAGTGTGATAAGAAGCAGCTGGGTGACCAGCCCAAAACAAGAGATCTTATATAACAAAATCACAGGATGGGTGAACCTGGTGGGGGTGGTTGTGGGCAGATTTCATGCCAGACAACCCAGGAGTGCCACAGGACGTGCTGAGTGCAGAGATGAGGACCAGGGAGCTGGGACAGAAAAGCCGTGGAAGGCGAGGTCTGCAGGCCAGTACCTCAGCACCTAGCTGGGGAAATGGAATGAAAACACAGGACACAGTCTGAGGAGTTTAACCTGAGCAGCTGAGTGCTTAGTAAGAGAGGGTAACTGGTAGGGAGGGCCACATTTGTATGTGTGTGTGTAAAAGAGGGATTTGGGATTACCAGTGTTTGAAAGGGAAGTAAAAAGGAAGTGGGTTGTTAAAGAGTATATATTTCCATTGGACAAATGAGGAAGTAAATTGATCTAGGGACACAGATTTTGTAGATGGCTATGAAGACCCCAGTGTGCTGGGCAACATCAGGCCTTATATCCCAGCTTCAGCCCAGGACAGCTTGGACTTTGGAGCGGGGTGGTTCTGGTTTTGAATTCTGATATCCCTCCTTACTGATGAACCCTCGAGCTACTTTTTTTCCTTTCCTATAAAAGTGAGGCTAAAAACCTACCTCAAAAGGCTATTAGAAGGATTAGAGATTATATTATACATAAAATACCCCAGAGACTATGGTAAATGATCACTGAATGGGAGCTATTACATGCCACTCAACATTTACTGTTGAAGATACAAAGACAAATGAGTCACAGTCCACAGCTCCACCCTCAAGGAGCTCACAGTTGACTGGTAGGGGCGGGTAAAGAACATCTAGTTAACAGTCCAGGTGAGAAGGAACAGGCCAGGTTAACCTGAGCTCACAGTGTTCTGGAAGCTATGCAGAGGGGACTAGCATGACCTTGAGGGGAGAGTGGGAGTGAGGAAAGGTTCTGCAGAGTCCTGAGCTGTACTGAGCTTGCCAATTGGAGAATGGAGAAAGGGCATCTGAGTTGAAGAAAGTATGTGCAAAGAAAGAGCCTGAAAACCTAAGGTATGTGCGAGGTTGTTGTTAGCTTGATGTGACTGGAACAAAGGCCCTTGGGAAAAGCCGGGTTTTACCTGTCAGCGCGAGTTTAAGCCCCATTTGGTATTCTTTTCTTTTTTTTTTTTTAAGATTTATTTTTATTTATTTATACATGCACTGGGTACAGTCAGAAGCACAGGAGGGTGAGAGAATTCACCAGAGCCAGAGCGGGGAGCAGAGCAGGCAGAAGGACCGAAGTACACTGCTGAGGGGAGCAGCGGGCGGCAGGAGAGGTCTGCGCGCCATGTGGGACCCTCCTCCGATGGCCGAAGAGCAGCCGGGGATCGAACCGGCGCTGCAGGGGCTGCGTGCAGCTTCGCAACCCAGCGCTCAACCGCTGCGCCACCAGGGAGGCCCTCATTTGGTATTATTTTCATTGTTGAAAGTGGTATCTTCTAGAGGGCAGTTTTTTCATTACCTGGAACTGTTCTGTTCTACTTCTCACAAGCCTTAAACTGCTGCTAGTCGTGGTTGGAGGGAGGACAAACAAATGAACAAAACCCCACAAGGAACCATGTAATAGTTGGTGGGTTTACCGCTTGGACCCATGAGAAGGTGAAGCAGTTCTCAGAGTAAGGATAATGGCTCAGGATCTGCAACTTCTCCCCTTAAAGTGGCATTAGGTTATCCATGTTCACAGTGTTATTCCCAATAGACAAAAGAAAAATGTGGGAAAACTCAAGCAGCCATTGACAGATGAATGGATTAAAGAAATATTGTATATGTGTGTGTATGTGTGTGTCTGTTGTGTATGTGTATATATGTGTGTGCATATATATAAATATATTATTCAGCCATAAAAAAGAATGCAATTCTGGGGACCTCCCCTGGTGGCACAGCGGTTGAGCGCTGGGCTGCGAAGCTGCCCGCAGCCTCTGCAGCGCTGGTTTGATCCCCGGCCATTGGCAAGGGTCCCACATGGCGCGCAGACCTCTCCTGCTGCCCGCTGCTCCCCTCAGCAGTGTACTTCGGTCCTTCTGCCTGTTCTGCTCCCTGCTCTGGCTCTGGTGAATTCTCTCACCCTCCCGCACTTCTGACTGTACCCAGTGCTTGTATAAATAAATAAATAAATAAATCTTTAAAAAAAAAAAAAAAGAAGAATGCAATTCTGATCCCTGCTACATGGATGAAACTTGAAAACTTCATGCCAAGTAAGACATAAAAGGACTCTTCATGAGTCCATTCATTGGGCTTTCTAGGGAAAATTAAATTCATAGAGACAGAAAGAAGAATAGAGGTTACCGGGACATGGGGGTGGGGTGGGGATGGGCAGCTATGGCTTCATGAATATGGAGCTGTTGTTTGGGATGATGAAAATGTTCTGGAAATTGGGCATCCCCGGTGGCGCAGTGGTTGAGCGCTGGGCTGCGAAGCTGTCCGCAGCCTCTGCAGTGCCGGTTCAATCCTGGCTGGCTGGCGAGGGTCCCACATGGTGTGCAGACCTCTCCTGCCGCCCGCTGCTCCCCTCAGCAGTGTATTTCGTCAGTCTGGCTGTTCTGTTCCCCGCTCTGACTCTGGTGAGTTCTCTTGCCCTCGCCCTCCTGTGCTTCTGACTGTACCCAGTGCAGTATATAAATAAATAAATAAATCAAAAAAAAAAAAAAAAGAAAATGTTCTGGAAATAGTGACGATTGTGCAACATTATGAATGTACTCAATGTACTTGAAAATGGTGAAAATGGTAAATTTTGAGGTATGTTTATTTTACCTCACACATACAAAATGGTGCCTGGCGGTTGTGATAGAGGCTTCTGTGGCCTCATGTCATTAAAGAAGGTGGGCTCGTGAGACCATGTCCTGTCCTCTGGTTCCTCTCTCTCTCGGTCACATCCTCTGTCTACCTGAGAACTGCAGCAGCTGAGGTCTGCTTTCTCCCGCAGCTCCATCAGCCCCTGTGTGAGTTCCTCACCTCCCTGCAGGCTCTCAGGCTGAGGGTCCCCTTTGAGCCCTCTCTCCTAAACCACCTCCTCCCCCCATCAGAGAACCTCAACTGGGAAGCTCCCATCATCCTCTCCAAAGGAGCACCTGAGAAGACCCACCCAGGGTCCTTCCCCTGTGCCCTGCGCATTCAGTCTCTGAGAGCCCCATGATATTCTATCGCCATTTTACGGATGAAAAAACTGAGTTAGCGCGGTCAGATAAGCCAACTGAACCGGGTGGCTCTGATCACAAACCTAGCCCACGCAGGAGCAACCCCACTGTATGTATGAGTGAGGCTGGGATTTTGTACTGTACGGAGGAGTTCGACCTTTATTCCTGAGATAATGGGGAGCCAGCACAGCACCTGTTCCAGGGGAGTTGCCCCACTAGTACTCTCCACCACCTGACACAATACCTACTTACTTTATTACCTGTCTCCTGAGAGTGGAAAACAGGTTCACTGTTGTGAACATGCCTGGAAGCTTCTACAGGGTCAGTAAGCATTTGTGGAGGGAATAAAGGGAGAGATATTATTAGACAATAACAGTGACCCAAGCACTTTACAGTGACTATCTCATTTAATCCAACAACCTCATGAAGCAATGACCCTAGCTCCTTTCATTATTTTTTTCCCAGGTAAGGAAAATAGGCGCAGAGAGTTAAATAACTTTTCTGAGGTCAAACAGGCAAATGGCAAGTTCAAAGGATTTAGACCCAGGGCATCTGACTCCAGAGCCAGGGCATTTAACTGCTACAGAACGCTGCCGTAGAGAACTGCTCTGGCTGGATGGGTGGTGGGCAAAAGATTTGAGGTGGAGAAAAGACACTGGACAATTCAGCTAGATAAATATTTGTGTCTTGAATACTGTCCTGGCATAATCTTTTTTAAAAAAGATTTTTTATTTTATTTATACAAGAACCAGGGTACAGGCCAGATACTCAGGAGGGTGAGAGGATTCACCAGAGACAGCGTGGAGAACAAAACAGGCAGACTGACGAAATACACTGCTGAGGAGAGCAGCAGGCGCAATAGGAGAGGTCTGCCACGCCATGTGGGACCCTCGCTGGCCGGCCGGGATTGAACCAGCACTGCAGAGGCTGCAGACAGCTTCACAGCGTGGCACTCAACTGCCTGTGCCACCAGGGAGGCCCTGTCCTGGCAAAATCTTGACCTTTGGCTTGTCGTCCTATTCCAGGTCTCCGTTGCTGATGGTGCTGTGATCAAAGGCATCCATGCCACCCTTGCGGCCTTCTGTCCTGCAGCCATACCCCACATCCTCATGCCCTGCTTCTGCTTGCCCTGGGACTCTCCGTGCAGCCTCCAGGGTCCCCCTGGAGACGAATGCAATGCCAGGATCCTGTTGTGCCCTGTGACGCCCACCACCTAGCTCATCCTCACTTCTGGGTACCATGACCTGCAACACTTCTGCCAATGGCTCTTCCAACTACTCTGCTCTTCCTGAGTGCCCAGACTACCAGACCACCCACTTCCACCACATGGTGGTCTACAGCCTGGTGCTGGCCACTGGGTTGCCTCTCAATGCACTGGCCCTCTGGGTCTTCACGCGTGCCATTCGCGTGCACTCAGTGGTGAGCATATACATGTGCAATCTGGCGGCCAGTGACCTGCTCTTCACCCTCTCACTGCCCCTGCGCCTCTCCTACTACGCACTGCACTACTGGGCCCTCCCGGACTTCATGTGCCAGGTGGCGGGTGCCATCTTCCAGATGAACATGTACGGCAGCTGCGTCTTCTTGACCCTCATCAACCTGGACCGCTATGTCGCCATCGTGCACCCGCTGCGGCTGCGCCACCTGCGGCGGCCCCGCCTAGCCCGACGGCTCTGCCTGGGCGTGTGGGCGCTCCTCCTGGTGTTCTCCGTGCCCGCCATCAGGGTGCACAAGCCCTCGCGCTGCAGGTACGGCGACAACAACACGACGCGCCTGTGCTTCGAGGGCTTCGGCGCTATGTGGGAGGGAAAGCGGCTGCTGCCGCTCGTGCTGCTGGCCGAGGTGCTGGGCTTCCTGCTGCCTCTGGCGGCCGTGGTCTACTCGTCGGGCCGGGTCTTCTGGACCCTGGCGCAGCCCGACGCCAGGCGGACCCAGCGGCGGCGGAAGACCGTGCGCCTTCTGCTGGCCAACCTCGTCATCTTCCTGGTGTGCTTCGTGCCCTACAACACCACGCTGGCCGTCTACGGGCTGCTGCGGGGCTACTCAGACAAGAATAACCAGGAGGCCCGCAAGCTGGCGAAGCAGGTGCGCGACGTGCTGATGGTGATGGTGCTCTTGGCCAGCTCCAACTGCGTGCTGGACCCGCTGGTGTACTACTTCAGCGCCGATGGCTTCCGCAACACCCTGCGCGACCTGGGCACGAAGCTGCGCCCCAGGACCGTGGTCACCAAGGGTGGTCCGGAAACGCTAGCCGAAAAGTCCACCGAGAACACCCACACGGACAGCGAGCTTCCCGCCAGCCAGGGGCTGCTCCGGTCCTCCGATCCAGACCCCGGGGGACCCTTCAGCCTGCGCTCCGAGGACTCGGCCCTCTAAAGGCAAATTGAGCCAGAACGCGGTGACCCTCCCCAGGCCTTTGCGCCTCGCGCACTCACACGTGCAGGGGGTGCGCACAGGAGGTGGGTTGGGCATTTGGACTTCCCCGTGGTAGCTCCAGCTCATAAATGCAGAAGAGAAGGAAGTGGGGGCACAGGGGAGGAAGAGAGCTGGTGGACGTGTTTACTTTTAGTTGGCGGTGATGCTGGCCCTGGATGCGGAGGACCCCTCCCCAAAGTCGTAGGAGTGATGCTGCCAACGCAGCGACAGAAGACTGGATGAAGTGCCCTGGACGGGAGGCATGAAACACTCCCAAAAGCTAGTACATGGAGCAGAAAATGGGGTCCTCGACTTAGACTGACCCCAACAGTCTCAGGACCTTGAACGCCAGCCTCTTTCTCCAGGGCTTCCTTGGGCAGACATAGAGGAGTAATACAAGAGGCTATTTGATACTCACAGCATCCTTTCCTATCTTATTTGGTAGGAATTGAGACCTCACAGTCAGCATGGGGGCAGAGCAAAACTGATGGCCTCCCCCATTCCCAGACATGCCTGTTCCCCTTTCTAGGTGATTGCTTTGTCTGCCACTTCACTTCCCTTTTAGGAGAGTCTCCATTCTATGTCCTTCTCTCTCTCTCTCTCTCTCTCTCTCTCTCTCTCTCTCTCTCTCTCTCTCTCATCCTTTCTTCTTCCAGAAGATGGAGAAAATTCTTTGTACTAAAGTTCTCGTACTTTTTGGTCTCAAACACTTTAACACTCTGAAAAGTCGAGCATTCCAAAGAGCTTTTGCTTATACTTTGTTCTTTTGATGGTCACTATATTAGAAATGAAAACGAGCAAGTTTTCAAAATAAATACACAAGCACACATTCTGTTAGCTGCGAGAGCAATAATGTTCTCACACTTCATAAACCCCACTGCGTACTTGTGGGAGAGTGAGTGTGAAGACAGCCTAGCAGTAGTATTAGGACAATAGTTTGATGCCATGATGTTCTCATAGAGTTGGTCTCCAGATCACACTTTGAGAACCATACCTGTACCCAAGTATTAGACTTCCCAAGCCATTACATACAGTGTTTGTTTGTTTTTAATTCCTGCAGGGAGAGAGCAATGTTGAACAAGCGAACTGCTATTAGTTGGGGTGGGGGGGGGCAAGTAGGAGCTGCACACCAAATGGAAGACTACCTTGGACTTCCCAGATGGCTGGGGCTGGGGGGGGGGGGGACTGGCTCCTGGAATACTCAGGAGGAGGGGGTGGGGCTGCCCTGGGGAGGGAAAAGGGAACTGTGTGTCTCCACCCGGAAAGGAGCGTTTACAGGGAAATGAGTGCCATGTAAGGACAGGAACAGGCCGGCTGTTCTTAACAAGGTGGAGACCAGGGAAATGGAAGACTGGTTTACAGGCCACCGTGTTTCCTTCCGGGTTTGCCGGTATCTTGGGCACCAGAGTCACGGGGCAGGAGGGGTTGCAGAATTGGCACAAGACATCCTGAGTCTTTGAGGGAGTTGTTATTCCAGTGTCCTAAATGCATTTCCTATGTCTACCAGTATTGTGCATGCGTGTGTGTGTGTGTGTGTGTGTGTGTGCGCGCGCGTGTGTGTGAGACAGAGAAAGGAGGGAGGGAGCGAGAAAGGCTCTCCCCAGAACGTGGGTCTGTGTTAGTTGGGAGTCAGCCTTTTGTGTCTTTCTGGGCGCATCCAGATGGAGATTTACAGGGGTAAAATGACCCCTGGTGGCCAAACCAGAGAACTGACCCAAATTCCTCTGAGTGAGCGCGAGGCTCCGCTCTTCCTCCCTCCCGGGGGAGGTTAGAGCCCTAGGCCAGGGCCCTATCCCTGCTGCTCCGGAAGCGGCCAGGTGGTTAGCACTTGCTCCATTCTTAAGGTGTGGGGTCTTTGTCCTTCCAGCCCCGGGAGCAGCAAGCATCATCCTAGTCCAGTTTGGATAGAGCGTAGTTTCTGTACTTCGCTCTATCCAAACCGAACCAAGTTGAACACAATTGAAAAAAGTTACTTGCGTATTTTTCCATATAGATACGTGCGTTCAGATGAAAGTAAAAATCAGATCCAAAGTATCACCTTCTAACATACTGTGTAATTTGCATATGTATTTATTATAATTTGTCGTTTGTTATCTGTGTCCGGGTCCCCCCCCACCAAGGTAGAAAGTAAGCTCCCTGGGGGGGCAGGAACTTTTGTTTGTTTGGTCCTTTGATGTATTCTCAGACTCTAGAAGGGCGCCTTGCATAAAAAAAAGTGCTCACCAGAGCCTTCCTGGTGGCACAGGGGTTAAAGACAGAGCTATCGAGCTATCACCAGCAATTGCAGCACGAGTTTGATTCCCCCAGGCCAACCAGGAAGGAGATCCACATGGCGCAGCAGAGTTCTCCTGTCTTGTCCACTGCTCCCCTCAGCAGTGTATGTCAGGGGATCTGCCTGTTCTGCTCCACATTCTGTCTCTGGTGAATCCTCTCACCCCTTGTACCTCTGGCCTGTACCCCAGCTTTTGTATGCATAAATAAATAAATATTTTTTAAAAAGTGCTCACCAAATATTTGTTGAATGACGAACTGTTGAATTTCTCTGTGAAGTAATAAACTAGTGAGGAACCACAGAACAACTCAACAATAATTATCATGCAGAACAGAAGATGCAAGAATGCAAGCTACGGTGTGGGCGGTTAATTCAGTGGGCAATAGAAGCCACTAAAGGTCTGTGAGTGGATTTTGCTCACCCTATCATACTGTGTGGGATAAACTGGATGGAGGTAAATGAGGTAGGGACCTTTGAAGGGAAAGAAAGCGTGGTCTGGGAACTATTAAAATAGCACAGGAGAGGGTTTCCCTGGTGGCTCAGGGGTTAAAGACGTGTGGGTTAAAGAAGCTCTATCAAGCTATCGCCAGCTATCCTCAGCTACTGCAGCCGTGAGTTAGATCCCCAGCCAGGGAGCTAGCCCACATGGTGCAGCAGACCTCTCCTGTCTGTCCGCTGCTCCCCTCAGCGGTGTATTTCAGTACATCTGCCTGTTCTGCTCCCCACTGTCTCTAGTGAGTCCTCTCCCCTCCACACACACCTCTGGCCTACACCCCAGCTCTTGTATGCATAAATAATTCTTTTAAAAAGAAAGAAAATAGTACAGGAGAGGTGTGACCTGGTCTGGGAAGCAGATGGAAATGGTTTGTCTCCAGCATGAAAGCTCTGTTGCTTAAGTTCTGGTGGATAGTTACCCCACAATCAGCGTATCCAGGGGCTTCCATCAGGAGTATAGAGAGGAGCAATTAGATGTTACAGGCAGAGCAAAGATGAGCAGATGCTGACTAGTAACGGGCTGGGGAAGTTTAAGAAAATCTGTAGCCACTGCCATTTTCACAGGATTGGGTAATATGGCTGAGGTTAAGATGTGGGGAATTCAGAGTCCTCACCCCACTTCTGATTTAGGAAAACCCAAAGGAGGAGAACAAAAAAACCTTAGATGGAGAGAGAAGAGGGTTAGCAGGTTTTAAAAAAATTTCTGTACGCCACGATGTCAATGCAGTGCCCACAATGCTTTATCTTATTTAATGATAACAACCCTCTGAGTTAGGGATGCTGATTCTCCCCATTTTACAGATGACACCTTAGAGAAGCTGCGCTCCTATAGGTCACACAACCAGGGAGTGGCACAGTATCTACTGGGCTTCCAGACTCCTGCTGTGAAGAATATCTTGCTCTGTCTCCCACATTCTCAGCCTTGGCTCCCTCAGCTACATCCTCCCCTGGTTTCCCTGTTTCTCCCCTCCTCACGGAGCCTGCTTTGCTTGCCTGGAATCGGCTGTATCACTTCTGTCCCTCTTTCTCTGCTCTTCCTCCACATTCCTAACCTGCCTACTCCACAGACTGCACACCTGCTCCCCTCTGTCCTCTTGCCTCAGGTCCCTGTGTGTGCCAGTGTGAGATCCCAGAACTGGGCTTCCTTGGTGTTCCAACAGTGTTGGGTTCCTCGCGGGCACCTACAGATGGGCGGCACAGCTTTGACTTTCCTGGCCTAGCCTGGATTTTCCCAAAGTCTCCAAGGTAGCACTCACCACTGTCCACCTACTACTGATGGTGGTTCTCCATGCCTCGGTCTGTCCCCTCTGCCAGCATGGTCCCTCCATTTCATGTGAGAAGTTGGGCAAAGAGTAACATTCATTGGTCTTGAAATAAAAACCATTCAGGAGAACCAGGGCAGAGGTCAGAGATCCCAAAGGGCAGGGATGCTTGTCTCTTGGCCCAGAACCCTCTTGGGGGTGGGGCGACTCCTGCAGAGATGTCACCTGGGGCCCCACGGGAAAAATGGGGAAGGAGAGGTTCATCCTTCCCTGGATCTTCCTTCTCCTTTCTTTCAGGAGAGCCTGGAGTCCAGGTAAGTGTCACCTTACTACCTGCAAGCACTGAGAAGTGACGTTTCTCACGAGGGGCTTGGGGAATCCCCCGGCCTCTCAGAACTTGGGAATCAAACAAACTTGGCTACTAATTTCACTTGTTACCTCTTGCCAATGTAACTTGACCAAGTCACCCTCTCTGAGCCTCTGCTTTCTCCCCTGGGACATGGGGATCAGAATATCTCTGCGGGGTCAAGGAGATCATCTGGAAAGGCTGCTGAGAGGCAGCCCCTAAGTGGGCACTGTCTTCGCAGCAAGGGTACAGGGAGGAGATGACACTGGTGAAGTCCGTGGTGCCCACCGGCGGTGTTTCTGGAAGACAGCAAGGGTTCCAGGTGAGAGTGACCAGCAAGTCTTCTGACAGCCATGAGAACCAGGGCCAAGGAAATGGGTGAGCAAGGCAGGCTGGGCGAGTTTCCAAGGTGCAGGTCAAGCTGACAACTTCTGGGGCCGTGCTTGGCCGGTTGCCCTCTGGGGGCACTCTCGCCCTGCTGGCCCCACGTCCACCCCACAGGCGGGGGAGTGGGCGGAAGAGTGCCCCGAAAGGGAGAGGAGAGGGGGCATGGGATGAAGAACCAGGCCAAGGAGAGCGGGCCTGAGAGGAGGCTGGAGGGGAAGTAAGGGCCCAGGCGGCACTGGGTGGGGCTGGGAGAGGGGCCCAGGGGCGGAGGGGGGCGAGCCCGGGAGGGAGAGGCTGAGAAGGGAGGAGGAGGCCAGGGAGGGAGACCGGCGCGCTGACACAGCCTCGATGTGTGGAACGGGCTGGGGTTTGGCCCACAGGTCAGGCGTCTGGCAGTATTATGGGATGGAGAGGCCTTAGGAGACAGGGAGAGTATTATGGGCTGGAACAGCCTTAGGAGACTGGGGAATATTATGGGCTGGTGAGGCCCGGCTCCAACTGGAGGCGGGAGGAAGGGGTGCGGGGCGGGAAGGGGGGGTGGTGGTGGAAGGGAATATTATGGGCTGGAGGCCTCCTGCGACCAGAGGCAAGACTATTATGGGCTGGCAAGGCCTTCGGTGGCCAGAGGGGGGAGCAGCGGGGGATGGCACCGGCTGCATGTGACTGAGGGGGGCCAAGTTGGGGGGGTGGCGAGTGGGGGTGGGGGAGCTTATTATGGGATAGCTCTTTGTACCTACTGCGGGGACTGCTTCTCCAGAAGATATTATGGGATGTCGTGTGTGGGAGGGGGAGTGGGGCTGGGGGGATTATTATGGGATGGTGGTGCAGCTTGGGGAGGGCCTCAGGAGCTCTTCTCCAACGCCCCCACCCCTTACTCTCTTGCCATCCCTTCTCTAGGGTCTGTTCTCACTCCCAGATGGCCTAAGGGGAACACCTGAAACCCGTCCCCCACCACACACACTTTGGACACCTCAACCCATCCTAGCATGGCCCCTAACTAGCAGCCACTTCCTGGGTGCTGAGGGGGAAAGGCAGCCCCTGGGGAATGAGGTGAAGGCTCTGAGCCCAAAGCAGGGCTGTGGCGACCAGTGGACCACACCTCCCACCTGCAGCGTCCCCTTGGCGCCCCGTCCCCTTGGGCTACTCTTCTCCTCTTCTCCCTCCAGGCCACAGAGTGGGGGCCCTTGAGCCTTCTCCCCTCCCCCCCCGCCCCTCCATTTCCTCTCCAGCTCCCTCCACAGCCGTAACCAGTAAAACAGGCGGCCAGCTATTATGGGATGGCTGCTCCCGGCAGCTCTGCAGGGAGGGGGCGGTCACTGCGGAATGTCTCCTGTGGGTGGCTATTATGGGATGGCCGCCTCTCTTTTTTGGGGTAGGTGGGAGCTAGCAAGGAGAATTATTGTGGGCTGTACCCTGCACGCTGGGTGGGGCTGTCCCGAGTAGGTGAAACTCTGGGGAGGGGGGATGGGGAAAGAAAGGAAGGAAGAGGAGGGAAGGAGCTGGGGAGCGTGGGGGGAGCCCAGACCTAGGGCCTGGCAAGAGTAACTGGCTGGAGAGGTTGTTTGGTGACAGCTGTGTGAAGGGGCCCCCGGGGCAGGTTAGAGCGAGCCAGTGCAGAATGCTGGACACCTGGGTCCTCTCACAGCTTGTGAACTAGGGGTCACCTCCTCCAGGCCTGCAGCGTGGGCTGGCAGTGAGAACCCAGGGTTCTGTCCATGTGACACACTAAAGGGTATAGTGCTCCTGGGTGACCACAGGGCCCCAGTACTACCCTACCTCCCTGCCTTCCTGGATTCCAGCTTTGGACCCAGGACTGGGGAGGGGGTTGGGCCAGGGGAGCTTTGCCACCTTGCAGTCACACCCAAGGAACAGAGGCTGGGTGGGCACCTGAAGAAAAAAAAGGCCTGGTCTGTCACCCCTGCCCAAACCCTGCACGACTTGCACCTTGTCTAGCCATCAGAGTGCACTGTTCCGTATGTTGCCTCCCCAACCCCCCTTTTCTGACAGAGCAGAACACTGGCCCCTTAGACCTCTTATGAGTAAAGTTTCTGGGGCTCACACAGAGCAGAGCTATAGAGAGAGGAATGATAGAGCATTTGCCGAAAACTCCGTGGACAACCCACTCTGAGTGTTATTGTAGGTTCTTCTGTAGCATGGGATGGAAACAGAACTCTAAGGTAACAGGCTAGAGACACTGTCCCCGTGGGGACATTAATCAGGAGATTATCCCACCCTTAGTCTCTGAGGGCCAATCATGCTAGTGGTTTATTTATAATTTATCTGGGAAGGTAGCATGGGGCCAGGGTAGGGAGAGGGAGCAGCGAAGCACCAAGACCACACAAGCAACACACAAACACACACATCCTCTTCCTCCCTGGAGCTCAAGAGGAGAGGAGAAGACTCTAATCTCCTTGATGTGGTATGGGGGGGAGTAAGAGGTGCGAGGGGATCAATGAGTAGGATATACAGGGATAGGAGCAGAGGGCTGTTATGGGCAAAAAGTACCAATGTTTGTAACCACAGGCAAGAGGCTGCGATTCCCCAGTTATAAAACTCTGTTCCTGGTTTATAGTACAAATCGCTGTCATCACATGCCGTATATTTGAGGAGAAACGAGAATAGGGCAGATGGAGCTATTACAGAAGGGAATTTGAGACCCAAAGACTCACCGGATCCCCTAGAGAAATGGGGAGAGAAGAGGGCGTAATAGGACTCTGGCAGCTCTATACATAGAGAAACTTCCTTGAAAGAAGGGATGCCCACATCATGGACTCTTCAAAGAGCTGCCTTCTCTCCCCCTGGAGCACAAGGTTCATACTCAGTACTCAGAATAAGCACGTGGAGAGTCTGGACACATGAATGGGACCCAATGCTGAGGTCAAGAGAAGTTAATGAGGAAGACGACGACGGCCTTGCAGAATGGCGCACTGCAAAGGATGGTCCAGGGAGTGAAGTCAGGTATGAATTGGGGTGAGGACTGCTCAGCACCACTGGTGCTCTGCTGGCAAGCAAAGGATGGTGATTTCACCAAGCCAACTATAGCCTCTCCTGAATTCACCTCTCCTTGCTGGTTCTCCAGTCCTGGGGTTCCCAGAGGAGGGGAGAGTCATCTGGCCAGGCCCCTTCTCTAGGGAAGTGAGATTAGGAGGGCAGTGCAGAGATGGTGTGTGAGGGCCTTCCCACTCACTTCTGGTCAGGAGGGGCCCCTCCTAAGAGGAAGTTCCGGTTTCTCTTCAACCTGTCACACTGCCACAGGCTTGGATCTATGTGAAAAAGTCACTGGAATGAGAGCAGAGGAGCTGGTCATCCACAGGGCAACAAGACAGTGGTGCTGAGTCATGGTTTATGCTCAGGGTCAGGACCTCTGGGACAGGGTCATGGGTTCAGGGTACCTGAGGACTAAAGAAGGGCAACTTACTAGGACTGGGACCCTAGGGTGGCTGCAGTTAGGGAAGGGATGGTATATGTTGAGTGGCTACCCTGTGGCATCACTGAATGAAGAAAGCATCTGGAATGTTGATTTGTACATGGGTAGGAGCAAACGGTGAATATTATACAATGAAGTTTTTCTTGGAGCCGAGAATGGGGTCCTGGCAAGACAAGGATGAGGGTGTTAGGAAGTATTGTGAAACTTCAGGATATAAAATGAGAAAGTGGGGCCTCCCTGGTGGCGCAAGCAGTTAAGATGCAAGGAGTTAAGATGCAACCTATGAAGCTGTCCGCAGCCTCTGCAGCTATGAGCTCGATCCCCGGCCAGGGAGCAACCCACATGGCTCAGCAGAGCTCTTCTGACTTGCCCGCTGCTCCCCTCAGCAGTGGACTTCAGTCCGTCTGCCTGTTCTGTTCCCCACTCTGTCTCTGGTGAATCCTCTCACACCCCACACCTCTGGCCTGTACCCCAGCGCTTGTATGCATAAATAAATAAATCTTTAAAAAAAAGAGCAAGTGGCTAAAAATCTTGGGATATTCAGGGTAAGCAGCATTTAATGTTCAACAACCAGGATAACAGTTCTGGCATGTGGATGTCTCTCTTAAGGAGGCACATGATGACATCACAGAATTTTTAGTAGGAGAGACACTCGGTGGATGAACACTGGTTTCCAATCACCATTGCTTATACCTAGGCAAGAAATAAAGTATGTCGACCATCCAGCTACATTGTATATCCTTTTGAAATACCTTCTAGCCTCTAGAAGGATCAACAAGAAACTCTACAGGGATATCATCTCTCCTGAGACCAGGTGGGATTTGTTTTAGTTTCTGAAACAGGAAATTGGGAAATAGCACTCAGTAGTTCTCCCCTGACCCCACACATGCCGTCTCACCTCAGTTTGTTTGTTTATTCATGCTTCCTGAAGTCTTTGCAGGCCGCATGGTGCCCAGCGCTGTGCCTTGCTAAGTATGCCGTCAGAATCTGTTGAATGAACACGAGTAGCAGTGAGTAGAGGGAGAGCAGGTCCTGACTCTTGCGTGTATACTGTCCATCCATGGAATTGGTCTCAGGGGTGTGGATGACTGGATCCCCTGACCTGGGGAGGAGGTGGAGAGACTGCTGGAATGTTGAGACATAGTCTTAAATGGGAGTTTGCACTCATCATGGGCGGCTCTGGATGAATTAAACTTTATGGAAAATGCTCACCTGGCCAGCATGGTATTTGGTTGATCCTACTCAAAACATTAGAGCCGGAGGCAAGCATCTAATGAATATCTGGATTTTGGTGGGACTGGGTGAGGCCCTAGGTTGACTCTCAGTTCCTGTGTGTCTGGCATTGACGAAATGAGGGAAGTTAGGGTCCTTCCTAGACTTCAGGAGACTTCATGCCAAGACACTGCTTTGGCCCAGAAAGCAGAGGATGAAGGTGTGTACAAGCTGGGGCGGGGACAGAGCAGTGTGGGGAGCCTGCTTCACCCTTGTCGCTCTGGGTGTCAGAATAGATTGATAGCTCTGGAGATGGGAGAGCTATGACTATGAGTATTATGGGCTGCCTGGCTGGAAAGGTAGAGAGGTGGTGAAAGCATTATGGGGTGTTACACTGGGTTGTGCTGAGAGCATTATGGTATATCTGGTTGACCACAGGCTCCTTGCAATTATTATGGGATGTTAGGGTGTGGATGGGGGAGTACAAATACGGAATATCCTTCAGCGTTCGAGAAAAGAAGATTAGATGTCCATGTGTGGGGTGGCAGTAGGGCTGCTGATCATTATGGGCTATCTCTGGACAGGGGAGGAGTGGTTGTGACTGGCTGTGGCGCTGGAAGGAGTGTGCGCAGCCTGGGGGTGGTGGTGTGAGGATCTAGACCCCAGCCTGCGGGGCGAGGGCAGCTCCGGGGTTAGTTATTATGGGATGTCAATATAGAAAGTGGGAGACTGATTATTACGGGATGTGTGTGGGAGGAGGCCAAAGTGTCCGTTGTTGTAGTGGGGAGTGTGTGTGTGAGTTTCTGACTATTATGGGATATCAAACTGGGGGTGGATGAAGAGTGTATATTATGGGATGTCTGTGGGGGATGGGGCTGAGTATTATGGGATGTGAGGCTGAAGTGCTGGGAGGGGTGCTTATTATGGGATGGCCTTGGGGAGGGAGAGGTGACGAATTATTATGGGATGTTAGCATTGGGGCCAAGAGTGAAGAAGTTGGCAAAGGCTAGCTATTATGGGATGTCTGAGGGGGGGAGGGTGAGTTGCAAAAGGTCTGCAATATTATGAGATGTCAAGAGCCTTGGCATATATGTGTATGGAGTGTGTGTGAGTGTGAGTGTGAGTGTGTGTGTGTGTGTGGGGGGGGTTGTCCGTGTGTATTATGGGATGGCCAGGAGGTGGGTGGTTGCCCGGGTGACACGCGCGCGCTCGAAAGGGGGCGTGGCCAATGGTTGCCTGAGCGACGAGGGGGCGGGGGTTGCCCGGGAGACCTAGGGAGGAGGGTGGCGGTAGTGGAGGGGGGGTTGGAGTTGGTTGAGGTTATTATGGGCTGTCCGTGGGGGGGCGGGGCCTGTGCGGTGGGATTTCCCGGCCGGTGTTTCGGGCCCTTTAAGAGGCGACGCCGGAGCCGGAGCCATTTTCCCCCCTTCGGCCGCGGCGAGGAGGAGCCGGAGCGGGAGTGACACCGGGCCGGACCCAGCGCGACCTGCGGCGGCTCCGGGGTGAGGAGACCTCGGGGTTCCCAAGGAGGCGCCCCACGCAGCCCGACCGGCCCCGAGGGTCATCCCCTCACTCGCCCCTTCCTCTGGGGTCCCCGGACCCGCGGACCGCCCCCTGCCCGGAGGAGCCGACCCTTCCTTCCCCTTCCCTGCAGGGCGCCCTGCTTCCCCTCCCCCCTCGCCCTCACCCGGCCGGAGTCCTGCGCCCCGAGACTCTCATCTCGGGCTCGGGCTCCCACAATGCCCGGCGTCCGCCCCCTCGCCCTTTGCTCACTTGCCCCCCGGGACACGTGGCTCGGCCCCCTGCCTGGTGGGCGCCCACTGGCCCCCCAAGTCCCTGCTGCAACCCCCCGGAGCGCCCGGGCTTCCACGCCCCCTCGTCCCCGCGGCTCCAGGAGAACCCGAGTTGTCCCAGAGGACAGCCTCTGGAGAGCTGCCCTGTCTGGGGACTGGCCCCTCCCCAGGCGCAGGGAGGCGCCCCCCCACCCCCAATGACCTTGTGTCCCCGAGCGCCTCGCCGCCCGCCGCCTCCCCCGGCCCCCTCCCCCACGCCGCGGCCACTCGGACCCCTCCCCCGCGTCACACCCTGTTCGGTCCAGCCCGGCCTCCCCCTCCCCACGCCTGCACCAACCTGCCCGCAGGGGCGTCCCTCCGACCAATCTGGGGGGCTCCGCTCGGGGAGCCGGCTTCCGGGCTGCCCCCGAGGAGTGTGGAACTAAGTTCAGCCTGAGTGGTTCGGGTGCCCAGCCAGGGTGGCCGGGTGGGGGGCCGGTGGTAGTGGTGGGCGGAAAGAGCGGGTGGGAGTGGGGAGGGGGGCCGTGCGCGTCACTGACTGTTCTCTCTTTCTTCCCCCCTCCCCCGCACAGTGACTCGGGCCAGTGCAGAGGGCCCCAGGCCGCCGGCAGGAGCAGCTGGGCCAATTCCCTGGCCGGGAGCGGAAGGGGATGGCGTCGGGCCTGGGCTCCCCGTCCCCCTGCTCTGCGGGCAGTGAGGAGGAGGATATGGATGCACTTTTGAACAACAGCCTGCCCCCACCCCACCCAGGTAACATCTTCCCCAGGGGCCCGGGGCAGGAAGGAGGCATTTGGGCCCTCCCTAGTGACTCCGGAGAGGCAGGGTTGAGTTTCTCGGCTTGCTCTGTGCAGTCTGAGGCAGAGGGCATCCGAAGGGAGTGGTTCTCTTCTGCGGAGCTCTTGTGTGAGGGGGGTGGAAGCCATGTGCCTCCTGGGCTCCGCGGACCGAGATGCAAGCTCGCTGCACTGTTTGTCTTCAGGAATGCTCTGCAGCTCCCATTGAGGGAGCTCTCTGGACTGGCAGGCATGACCCACTGTGGGTCCTTGGAGGAATGCAGTACCTGGGACCCCTGGAAGCTTTGTGGTCCTGAGGTTGGTGGGGTTTGAGGCTGTCTGTTTAAGGATCCTGTGCCTGCTACTGTGGTTAGGAAAGAGGGAGCGCTGGTTACTTTCTCTCTGATGAATTTTAGCTTCTGCTCAGTTACTGGTTTTCTGTGCTGTTTCAACTGTGTGAAGTTTGAATTGCGCTCCTCAGCTGGGATCTAGAGCGCCATTAGCTAGGCAGATTGCTGAAATGTTTTCAGTGGGGGAGTGATGGGGGCTAAGGGTTGGACATAGTCACCCTGAAGGATATGTGAGGGGGGCAGAAGAAGGGAGGTGACCCTTTGGGCTCCTCTCTTCCCCTGGCAAGTAGACATAACCGTGTTTTTTTTTTTTTTCCTAGAGGCTTCTGTCTCTGTGCAGGTAGCCTGGGGTTTGGGCTGGTAGAGTGAAGTGTTTGTGTAGGTGTGTTGGGGGTTGTACTATTTGTGTTTTGGGGTGGCTCCTTGGACTGGCCAAACCCGTATAGTTATAATCACCATGCCTGATTGGAGTAACCCTTGTCTAGTCTCAGATGGTGATTGATGTCATGCTTTCAGGTGGCTGTGCCTCTCTTGTCTGTCTTTTTTCAGAGCCCACTTGTTTCCTCAGCCTTTTCTAAGCTTTATTTTTTTTCTGGATGCCATATCTTCATCATTTCTTTATATTTTTCTTTTCATCCTGGAGCCTGCTGGTCCTGTTTTTGTTTCCCATCCAACGTTTTTTACTTCTCCTTAGCTCCAGGGGCAAGTTGAGGTGGTCTGGGAGAGATGTTACAGCATTTCCTGGGTTGGAAGTCTGCAATTTCAACCTGATACCATTTAAGAGAGGCATCAGTCTTGTTCCTGAGTCTTCTGTTCTTGACATAAGAAACTTAAAATTGACTCTCATCAGTGTGGAGGGCAAGGTGGCAGATTTCGGTGCAGTGGCCTAGGGTAGGGGTAGTGTTGTGGTCGGTAGTGGTGAGGTGATCCTATACTTTCTGTGAGGGGCAGGAGAAATAGTAGTGCTGTCCAGTGTGGGGCCCACATCTTGACTTCCCATTGGCCCCCTGGTCTGGGGCTGCTCCTGTGTTGATTGGGAGCTGTGCGGGCTCCCAGGGCAAACTCTGCCCCAAGCTGTAGCATGACCCAGTTTTTCCACTTGCCACACCCCATTCCTGCCCCTTTCCCAAATCTTCTATATCTCAGCCAGTGCTGCCTGCCGTGTCAGCACAGTATCTGCCTGAGAAGTTCGGGGGTCTTATGTGAGTGGAAGTGTGTTCCTTTTGCATCCGTGGGTTTGTCCTTGTTTTTACTTCCAGCTTTTATAGAGGTGATGAAGAGGAACAACTGAAAGATGTAACCGATTGGGGTGGGAGTGGGGGGTGACATGGGGATTGCTGGGGAGAAGTCCTTCAGAAAATGATCCTTTCTGGTGAGATTCAGGCTGGTGTTCCAATCCCAAGGGAATGGGAGGGGCTTTCTTGTGCCTGGCCTGATCCTGGGCTGAGTGGGAAGGGGGAGGCTGATGGTGCTTTGTCCAGCCTAATGTCTCATGTTCCCTGGTATCTGCCTCAGGGCGGAGCCAGAGGCATTTTAGGGCTAGTTCTGGGGGTCAGGAGGGAAGAACCTCTGTAGGATTTGGAGAAGCATATTGTCCACCACTACCTATTGCTGCACCTTTTTTCTAGATCTGGATTGACTCCTATATGTTGCATAGGTTGCTGCCTCTAATCTGGAAGAGGTGGTTTAGGATCTGTATGGTTTGGACTCTGGATGGGGTGATGAGGAACTGAGTTTGAGACTTTTTGTGGGCTCTCATTCTTCCAGGTAAATCTTTTAGGTATCAAAAATTTGAAGACAAGATTGTATGCTCTGATCCTAGCTTCACTGAGCGTTTGTTAAAGCTAAACTCTGATGATTAGAAAGATAACTGATTTAGGGAGTAACCCAGTCCCTCTCTTAGTATTACCCTTTATGTTTGTCTTGGATTTCCTTGCCTGGAACATTAGAGTGGCCTCCTGAGAACTGTGTCACCCCAGGATAGGTGTAAGAGAGGTGGCATTTGGACCTGGGGCCAGGTAATAATTGGAAAGTCTTCTGTTAGGGTAGTCTCCCCCACATCCCCCCCTCCCTGCCACTTCCTGTCTGTCCTGTGTTGGCAGCTGGGTGCCCTGGGCTGGCTTCTGCGGTCAGGAGCCATTTTCCTTCTCCTCAGTGGGTGAGGCACTCCCTCCTTCTCTCCACTCCCTTCTCCACTCCCCCCTCCTTGGGCGGGGGTGGCTTGGGAAGAAGGAGAGAGAGGAGGGAGGAGGGAGCTGGTGTGCTGGTGTAAATGTCTGTTACAAAGGAAGCTGCCTCCTGGCCTTCTCCTCCCCCCTGTGCCCCTTCCCACCTATCCCTGCCCAGGAGCTCTTAGTGTTACCCCAGGCTTTGTGTGTGCTCCCAGCCAGGGGAGGAGGTGGAGCCAGATGGGAGGAGGAAGGGGAGGGTGGAGGAGATGGTGACAGCTGGGCTGATTTGGGCCCCTGGGGAGAAGAGGCTACTGACCCAGGAGAAGCTGAGGAGAAACAGCAGAGCTGGAGATGGGGAAAGGAAATTATGTTTGGGAGTGGGCGTGAGATTGAGTTGGCAGCTGGACCTGGGCTCTGGAAGTTGTGATTGTTTTGAGCAGTGATGACCCAAAGGGGTTAGCAGAGGGTGTAGTTTCTAGGACCCCTGAACTGATATTCTGGGAATGTGATGAGAGTGTATGCTGTAGTTTTTGCCTTTTCTGGTAGGGTCTTTCATTCTCACTGCCTGGTTTAGAGAGTATTTGGTGGGCAGATACAGATGGACTAGACCTCTTTCTCGTATTTGGTTAACTCTAGGTGGCTTAATTCAACTGCACAGCGAAGATATAGAAGCTCCTGTTAGGGATGAAGGTGAAGAGGTAGAGGTCTGGACAGCTGCCCGAGGTGGGCCTGGTCTGGCCTGGCAGGCCTATTTCGGGTATATACAGCTCTCTCTTTGTCTGTTTTTGTACTGAGTATCAGCTTCCTTCTGTGGAGAGTATAGCTGTTCTCTTCAGTGGAATCTGGGACAAGAGGTGGGGGAATAAAGTCTAAAGCCTCTGGATTAGGCTCTAACCTTTTGCTATTGATCTTTTCCCTGCCTACTTCTTTGCCAAATATATGTAGAAAATGAAGAGGACCCAGAAGAGGATTTGTCAGAAGCAGAAACTCCAAAGCTCAAGAAGAAGAAGAAACCTAAAAAACCTCGGGACCCTAAAATCCCTAAGAGCAAGCGCCAAAAAAAGGAGGTGAGTGGGTGACTGGGTGTTATGGGGAATAAGAGGAAGAAGGGAGGAGCTCTGAGAAGGGTTGCAGGGCTGGGGGCTTTTGTTTTCTGCTTCTGGAGTCTGGAGAGGTGGGTCAGGTCCTGGGGATGAGCCTCAGGGCTGTCCTGAGGTCAGCATGTGTGTAGCATGTGTGTCTGTCTCCCTCTCCCCCCTTCCCTGCTCCAGCGTGTGCTCTTATGCCGGCAGCTGGGGGACAGCTCTGGGGAGGGGCCCGAGTTTGTGGAGGAGGAAGAAGAGGTGGCTCTTCGCTCAGACAGTGAGGGCAGCGACTACACCCCTGGCAAGAAGAAGAAAAAGAAGCTTGGACCTAAGAAAGAAAAGAAGAGCAAATCCAAGCGGAAGGAGGAGGAAGAGGAGGATGATGACGATGATGATTCAAAGGTGCCTGGACTTCCATCCCCTTCTCTGTGTGTTAACTCCTGTCCTTTGTTTCACAGACACTCCTCTGCTCTTTGGAACGTTTTCTCCACTTACTGCTAATGATTTCCTCTCAGCTCTCTTACCCGGGGGTTTGCAAACCTTAGTTTCAACTCATTCTCATAGCAGGTGTGGGCAGTAGGTGTCAGGTCTTTGACCTTGTTCTCTCTGCAGGAACCTAAATCATCTGCTCAGCTCCTGGAAGACTGGGGCATGGAAGACATTGACCATGTGTTCTCAGAGGAGGATTACCGCACCCTCACCAACTACAAGGCCTTCAGCCAGTTTGTCCGGTAAATAAGAGTTTGGGGCGCGGGGGGAGGAGAGTACTTATGCAATCTCTTCTCACTTCCCTTCCCTCTCTTTTATTCATGAACTTTTTTCTGTTCTTACCCTATTTCTCTACCACAGACCCCTTATTGCTGCCAAAAACCCTAAGATTGCTGTCTCCAAGATGATGATGGTTTTGGGTGCAAAGTGGCGGGAATTCAGTACCAACAACCCCTTCAAAGGCAGTTCTGGGGCTTCAGTGGCAGCGGCGGCCGCGGCGGCAGTGGCTGTGGTGGAGAGCATGGTGACCGCCACAGAAGTTGCACCACCACCTCCCCCCGTGGAGGTGCCTATCCGCAAGGCCAAGACCAAGGAGGGCAAAGGTGAAATGGGGCTCCATGGAGGGGAAGGA